TATCTATGATGAACCTTGCACAACCATGTTTTCTTAGATTTTTCATAAATCTACATTAGCTACTGTAAATCATTTGATTCGGTGTTTTCAGATGGTAATAACTTTAAGACCTCCTTATCTTTGGACACCACCTCAAAAATTTAGTGAATCTATAGATAGTTTCTTGTATAGATATCCATACTTGAGCATCAGACCATCAAGAACCTCAAAGACCCTGTCAGTGTTATGATGAGGTCTAACATGATATGTTAAAAATTCCTTCCAAAAACAATGCACACATGTTATAAAATCCTAAATGCTCTTTTGCACATACCAATAACCAATTCTTATTGTTCCATATATTAATAAATCTCATCCATTAATTCAATGATTTTTAAAAATTAACAGTTTTGATCTCTTAACTTGACGCACTGCAAGTATTTTTACTTCAGAGCGATACTTCGTCATTTGATAGAGTCCTAGCTGGGTGATAACCTCACTCCCTCTCTCATTAGTTTCAACTTTCCACTAGGTCTAACTTCACTTATAGGGTAGTCTTTTTTTAGAGTTTAGTCTCATAGCTTTCCTCTCATTTACTATGATTGGTAAGAAGGTTTAGGGGAAAAGGGAGGGATAGAGGAAGAGGGGATGCATCTTTCTCTTAATGGGGCAAACCGTTTTGGAAGTTGGGCCCGTATGAAGTGTTATCAAGCCGTTATTAGACAAAATCCGTCTTTAAGCGGGGAACCATTCTGGATTTTCAATAACCTAACAGTTTAAGAGCTTTTCTTTTTGCCTTTTCCCATCTTATATAAAAATATTATCTCAGTTTGATTAGTTTCGAGTTATAAGGGTCCCATCTCAGTTTCATGTTTTAAGTTATAAGAGAGTCAAGTCTTTAAAATAACACGACAAAGCCAAGAGATTTAACCTATCAAGTTTTAGTAAACTATATATAAAAAAGAGACAAATAAATAAGGACTTATAAATAGGTTTATAAGGATTCTAGAGTCGTAGAGCTTACATGGTTACTATTTTTGTTGCAAGAGCTCAAATTTCAAGTTTGGGCAATCCTCCTATCAGAAAATATCCTTGGGATACACCATAGATCAAAGAATTTTTAGATCTCCATTTGGTTATTAAATAGTTAGAGAGAAGCAAGTCTAAATACATACCTGGATTTGAACAAAAAGCTAATAACATAAACTCATATCATGAACTCAAATTGTAGACTCTTATCAATATACACACATACATACACTCCCTTATATCATGAACTCAAATCATAAACTTATATCAATATACACATATGCCTGCACTCACATGCATTCATGTGACACAAATTTTTGTGTGTGTTTGCATGAGAGAGAGAGAGAGAGATGGTGATGGTATCTCAACCCTATTTGATGTTTGTTTATATAGGAGATGAAGTTAAAATCAACTGAAATTGCCTAGGCACCAAGATTGATTGATTGAAGGCTTTCTCTCTTTAGTGGCTACGTTGGGCTTTCTATTGTGTCCTTAAAAAGCTTATAACTTTAATGTTTTGATGCATATGTTTTGCAAGGAATGTAATCTTAAAGGTGCCTGTTTGGTATTTGATGAAACAGGAAATAGATGTTTGCGTCCTAGATTTTTAGTTTTAATCCTTTAATCAATGGATATTGTACATTAAGAAACCAAAGTGAGGGGTTTCGATTGAAGAGTGTTATGAAAAATGAAATTTTTTTCTAGATCTTCACTTTTTTTAGTTCTTTGATTAATGAGTTGTATAAAGAGTGCATGTTAGATGAGGTAAATAATCTATTTGATGAAATGTTTAAGAGATTATTTTCAAAATTTTCTCTCTCATGAGCCATAAAATTCCATCAAAGTTTATTAATTTTTTTTTGTTTATAAGTTGCTATTGAGCAAACTACAACTATTATCACTGGATGCTTGAATTTTTTGGGCCTACAAGTTTGTTATTTTGTTCTTGAAATCATATGCTGCTCCTACTCAATAAAAGAGAAAAAGAAGAGAAAGTATGAATTCTAAGAGAGAGGAGAGGAGCATGTAACATGGAGAATAATGTAGGAGAGAGTTTGGGAGAACTTTAAAATAATTATTAATTAATTAATTTTTTATTAAAAATAATTGATCAAAAATAACATATAGGCTATCAATTAGTGAGAGTTAAAATATTTAAACTTGTTGAGTCAACATTTTCTGTTCATAAGGTTAACGATGTTAAGTTTAAATGACTAAATGTACACTTTTTAAACTTAAATGACTAAAGTGAAACTTAGTGCAAATATAAAGGACCAAATGTATATTTTAGTCAAAATTTATTTATTAAAATTAATTTTATTTTTAAATTAATAATTATATAGCTGGACAAAATAATTAATATAATCATTCAGTAATTAAAATTTAATTAGAATAATCAATTATAATTAATTATAAATTATTTATAGTTGAATTCTAATTTTAGAAAATTTTATTATTATAATTTGGATTATATAATTATAAAAATTAGAATTAAAAAAAATATATACTCCTTGTGATCCTTAGTATAAGAGCTAGATGGATAGAATAAGGAAGTTAGTTATGTCAATTATTTGTAACAAATATGATTTGATTTTCTTAAAATGCCATCTTTAACTATGATTACTTTTAGATGGAAACCCCTTAATACATGTAATCCATAGGGAGCTTTAAGGGAAAAAATTATAAATTTGGGAAACAAAGTGGGTTAGGATTTCATATTTACGACTAAATCTAACCATCTACTAGCTCTAGTTTGAATTTTATAATTTGAATCCCTAAACCTAATTCTCTCATCAGAGTTGCTCTACGATCTCCACAATCAGTCATCCCTCCTCCTCTGCCACTCAGCGCACTCTCAGATCGGTTTTGGCTCCTCCCCCCATCACCTACCTCCATCGTTGCTCGTCCAGTCCTACAGTTGCACTCGTAAAGTTCATGGATTCCCTTTTCTTCTTCTTTTTCCCCTTTCACTGAATCCCTAACCTAATTTCTCTTATTGCAATTTCGCAATCCGACTCATTTGGTTGTCACTCCTCCTCCGCCACTCAATCGCACTTGCAAATTGGCTTTAGCTCCTCCTTCTCCCATCGTCAACACGTTGCTCCTCCACTCCTACAATCATACTCGCAAAGTTGCAGGTTCCTTTTTCTTCTTTTTCCCCTTTCACTCTAATCTAATTCGGTTTGCTCCTTATCCTTATTTGCTAAGTTGCTATCTTTGTTTGCTCCTCATCTCCAGTTTCTCATTCTCTGTAATTATCTTCTTAGATTATAAAAATACATTGCTATTGCCCAAATTCCATCGTATAAATGCATGCTAAGGTTTTTGGTTAATGTAGTTTTGTTAATATGGTGAGTTACTTTTTTTCAGCATGTTCATATTTGTAAACCTTTGATTATTATTGTAGAGAGAAGTCATCGTATTAGATATTGTATCTATTTCTAAGCATATTCTCTTTTGTATATAAAATTCAATTTTTATGTCCATTGATCATATATGTGCTTGCCTTTTCTTTCTTTGTGAAGTTGTGATTGTAAAGCCATAAAGTTTTATAGAATATAATCTAAATTGATTGTGTGACACTTATTAGATTTATTTCAATTTGAGAAAGGGCCAAATTTTGCAGTTTATATGATCAGTATCAATCAATCAATTTCATTATATTTGGGAGTGATTAATGATGGGTGTCACTATGCCTCTCTTTAATTAGTTTAATTTGTCACCTGTCAATTAGTTTCTTAAACCAGAAAAATTCAGAACAAAGGTGTTGAGCATGGGCCCAAGTATACATATGTTAGAAAGAAAGCCCAAATGTAGCCCGTTCCATTGAGTAATATAGTGATTTTGGAGTAGTTTCCATTAGAAGGCAATTTTGACTTGGACTGAATCATAGGTTAAATTCCACATCATGTTTATTCATTGCAAGATTGCGTGGTTTTGGATTGTTCTAAATTAAGTTTATAAAGTTCATCTCTTTCCTGTTGATTTCTTCTATATTTACTTGCTCTCTCCTTTATTTTCCTTTTTTTCCCCCCTCAAAATCTCTCTCTTTACCTATCAATGTTACACTCCTTTATTGAAATATGGTAAGATATTTTATGTAGAGATGGGAGGCGGCAGCCCCACTTTTGCTTCGTCTTTTGAAAGGAAAAAGGAGAAGGAAAAATTTTATGTTGTCTTTGAAGGAAGAAAAAGAGGGGTTTTTTATAGTTGGGAGGAATGTGCTAATCAAGTTAATGGTTTTCCCAGTAATGTGCATTGTTCCTACAAATCATGGGATGCCGTAGTAAGGGCTTTTAAGGCATATAAGCTTGGGAAAGCAGGAAGCTGTGGTGGTGCTTCCACTTCTAAAGGAGAGGAGAAAGAAGTAGGGATGGGAAGCAGCAGCCTTACTTTTGCTCCTCCTTCTAAAAGGAAGAAGGGGGAGAAAATATTTTATGTTGTCTTTGAAGGAAGAAAAAGAGGGTTTTTGACAATTAGAGGAATATGCCAGTCAAGTTAATGGTTTTCCCAATAATGTGCATCATTCCTACAAATCATGGGATGAGGCAGTAAAGGTTTTTTAGGCATATGAGCTTGGGAAAGCAGAAAGCTATGGTGGTGCTTCCATTGTTAAAGGAGAGGAGGAGGAATCATTTGTTCAGCTTGAGAATGCAGACAGCTCTTGTTCTACTTCAATGAGCCATAGTTCATTTAGCCTTGACTCAGATGCTATGAAGCATATCCTGTGCTTAGAATTAAAGGTTCTAAAGGCACAAAAAGAAAGAGATAAGGCTATAAAGGCAGCATGATATGTATGAGGAGGTCTTAAGTGAACTAGAGATCCTGCCATTGGAAGATTAGTTTAGCCTGATTGTCCAATATTTCTTCCTCTTTGGTTCTTTGGCTTTGTATGGTTCTACTGGAAGGAGTAGAGTAGGTTGAGGCTCTTTGGCTTTTTTAAAGCTTCTGTTATTGGTTTTTGTCTAATGTTTTTGTTGTTTAGTTTTGTTCTGGCTGTGTGCTTTTGTGCTTATCAGGTTTTGGTATGGTTTTATGGGTTTTTCTCTAGCTTCGCATGGTGCAGCAAATGAGAAATGGCTACTTAAATCTGATGATTTCTTCCTGTAAGTTTCTCCTAGGTATTTCATTATTGGATATAGGCTTCATAGAGCTCACTTTTGAATAGCTTAATTTCAGGTATGCTAATCATCCAAATGCATATTGGACTGGCTACTTAGGAAGTTTGAGACTTTTATCTAAATTTAGACATGAATTTATTGATTACAGCTTTTTTTGTATTCTGATATTCCAATTGTTTTACAGATTCAAGATTTTGGGACAGACTGGGATCTACAAGTAAATCAACCAATTGTTGGAAATTATTACCCTGTATGCTCTTCAAATAAAATGCTCCTAATTCCTATATCTAGCTTCTGTAAATGTTCAATGTTCAACTTGTAAACTATATAGCTTGAAACTTTCATCCTGGCAAGCAAACAAGTTTTCTTCCATTTTTTTTTCCAGAGGGGGCATTTGATAGATAGATCTCAAGTCCATTAAACTCCAAAGGGTTTGACTTTTACACTGACATTTGATAGATGGATCTCAAGTCCATTGAGCTCCAAAGGGTTTGACTTTTATGCTGATTCAAGCGTCAATATTTTTGGAATAAAACAAAAAGTTTCAAGTACGTTTTATTCTTGCTGTTATTTATATTTTAAACTATCTTCTTAATACTTCAAATGGACATTAATGTATGTTATGCTTCCTTTTTTGCAAGTTAATTTAGGAATACATTTGCAAGATTGTAAACCTTCAGTAGAGTGTTACCTATCCGTGTTCCCTTTTATTTCTCTGTTCTAAACTTTTTTTCTCTGCAAAATTTCTTTGTTCAGTTTGGATGTTTGGCTAATATTTCTTTGTTATAAACTTGTCTGTCTATGATGTTTTGCTAATATTTCTTTGTTCTAAACTTTTTTGTCTCTGTAATCTTTGTTCAGTTTGGATGTTTTGCCAATTTCATGTTTCCTATTTGAAATTATTTGCATTATTCTCTCTGTAAGCTACTCCCATGAAAAGGCACCCAGCCTCATCAATAAAGTGTTACAAATTTCATAGAGTACTTTAATATTCTGGAAGATTCTGCTTAGGTCTATTAGAGAGAGAGAGAGAGTTGGTGAGATTTTTAGTGCTATTTTCTAATGGAAAGCGTTCCTATTTTCTTCTTCTCTTAGTCTATAGTTCTAGGTCTAACTAGCATCATAACAGTCATTATTCTCTGTTTTAGCCTTTTCTCATTCTAGTCTCTTAATCAAACTCAACCCTTGAAAAAGTTTTAAACCTCTTGTTATAGGTTTCAAGCATGTGAGCACTAGTGGAGAAGGTTATAGTGGGCTTTGGTGTTGAAAAAAACTCACTGCTTTCCCAGATCTCCATTTTGGTACCAAGAATTATAAGCTATCCTATTTTCTTCTATTACTTAGTTAATATTACCAGTTCTAGGTCTAACCAGCATTATAGTAGTTATTGTTCTCTGTTTTAGTCTTTTCTCATTCTAGTCTCTTAACCAAAACTCGACCCCTAAAAAAACAAATTTAAAACCTCTTATTGCAGGTTTCAAGCATGTAAGCAATGGTAGAGAAGGTTATAGTGGTCTTCGGTTTTGAAAAAAAACCCACTTCTTTCTCAGATTTATGTTTTGGTACCAAGAATTATATCTTTGAACATTTCACATGTAAATCTACTGCTAAATCTTTGAGAGATTATGCATACCTTTCTTTGCTCCCTTGTTGTAGGTTCTTGTTTTTTTTTTTTTTTGCTCCCTACTAATAGTGGAGGAGACTGTAAGGTTTTCTCATTGATGTCATCAGGTTGATTACTGAGGAGTTTGGTTCTTTGAAAGATTTTAATTTAATACACCACCAACCCACACAAAAGCTAAATGTGTCAGAAGATTCCTTACTTTTTTCATGGTTCCCATGTGTTATCTAGGAGGAAGCTGCCAATATATGGACTGCCCTTGGTCCTTACGCGTCCCCATGTGTCCTCCACTCTTGGCTTTTACATGTTCACATGTACAATAGTTGGGGCTCACAATAACAGCTATGGATGCTGGAGATTTTGGTCGGTGTTGGGCCTTTTGCATCACTCGTGAGGACAATGGACTTGATGTCATTTTCATGTTGGTCTTTTCTTTTCTTTTTTTCTTTTTTACCCTCAACATTTTCTTGTTGGGACGGTAATGTGAGAATGAGATAGGAATATGCTGATGAGATTTATCATCCTTTTGAAATGTCTAGAGCATGGACTATATGCATTTTTCTATTATTGTTTAATTGGAAAAAACTATTTAATATTTTTATCTATTATTTGTTAGATAACTTTTTTTAAAATTTAATAACAAACAATCAAGGAACAAGATGCCTCTAGCACTTTAAAGTTTTTTTTAGATGTGTTAAGCATTTTAAATCATTTTTTGTGTTTATTTTTAAATTAATAATTATATAATTGAAAAAAAAAAATTAATATACTCATTTATTAATAAATAATATTTTTCTATTATTTGTGAGATAAATTTTTTTTTAGAATCTTAAGTATCTGACACTTTATCTTTTTTTTTTTTTTGGTGTGTATAGCATCTTAAAGTATATTTTTGGTGTTCATTTTGAAATTAATAAATTAATAATTATATAATTGGATTAATAATTAATTAGAATAATTAGTTATAATAAACTATAAATTATTTATAATTATATTCTAATTTTAGAAAATTTTATTATCATAATTTGAATTTTACAATTATAAAAATTAGAATGGAAAAATAAAAAAAATACTTCTTTTGTTCCTAATTATAAGAGCTGGAGGGGAGGTTAGATGTGTTTTTAAATACTACCTCCGATCCTAATTATAAGAGCTAGCTGACTAATTTGAGGAGATTAAGGAAATAAGTTAAGTTAGTTATTTGTCACAAACAAATGTTGTATTTCCTAAAATATTCTTACTAATCAAGTGTAGTGGCTAGAACTACTATTAATAGAAGGACTACTTTGGAAAAAAAATACATAAATATGAGAGATAAAGTGGATTGGGGTCTTATATTTAAGACCAAAATAAAAGTCAAACAAGACCTTATATTAAGAACTGGAGTTAGTATAAGACTTTAATCCATAGTCTCTCAAAATTATCTTTATAATAATTATATTCTAATTTTTAGAAAATTTTAGGGTTAATACAAAATTTGGTCTTTCAAATTTTTCTTCATTTTGGTTTTGATTCCTCAAGTTTTAAACCAAAAGGTTTGGTCCTCAAGTTTCTTTTCATCTAAAATATTGGTCCCTATAATCCAATAAAAATTTATATCATTTTGCCCCTTGAGGGACCAAAACTAAAATGAAAGCAAATTTGAGGGACTAAAAATTATATTAATCCAAAATTTTATTATTATAATTTGAATTTTATAATTAGGAATAATTAATATGAAAGTTCTTATAGTCTCAACCGATTTTTAATTAGAGCCTTATAACTTTTTTCTTTTTATCAAATCCTTATAATTTCACATGTTTTTAATCAAGTTCTTATAATTGTTTTCTTTTTATCATATCCTTATTATTTTACCTTATTTTTAATTAGGTGTTTTTATTTTTTATTCTTTATTCTATAAATAATAAATTATTATAATAATCTTATGTATATATTCTTTTAAATTTTGAGTTAAACATATATATCATTTATTTTTCAATTCTAATTTTTATAATTATAAATAATTTATACTTAAATATAATTAATTATTCTCTTTAATTATTAATTACTAAATGATTATATTAATTATTTTGTCCAATTATATCATTATTAATTTAAAAAGGAAATTAATTTTAAAGAATAAAGTTAATAGATAATTTTTTTTAAAACTACAAAGGACATAATTAAAAAAAAAGTGAAACTATAAGGACTTGATAAAAAAGAAATAAATGGAGAGGCTTAATTAAAAACACATGAAAGTAAAATGATATGATAAAAATAAATTTTTATAGGGATCTAATTAAAAATGAGATGAGACTATAAGATCCGGAGATTAATTAGCCCTTATAATTATGAAAATTAGAGTTAAAAAATAAATAATACTATATCCATTCCTAATTATAAAATCCATTTAACTAATTAGGGCAGATTAAGTAAGTTAAGTAAATTAGTTTAATTATAATGATTATAATTGTATTCTAATTTTAGAAAATTGTATTACTCCTCTTGTTCTTAATAAGACATAATTGTTGAGTTGATCTTAGTCCTACATATAAGACTTATTTATCACATTTATCAATTTTTCTAAATTATCTTTAGTGGTACTTTCTCAACCATAATCAAATAGGATATGGAGGAAGGATATTAAGAAAGATAATTATAGTATTTTTAAAAAAATATGACATTTTTTTTATAATTAACTAACTTATCTAAATATTTTAATCAAATCCAAATAATTAAATAGGTCTTAAATTAAAGATCGAGGAGTATTATAATTGTAATTTGAATTTTATAATTTGAACGAATCACTAACCTAATTCCTGCTCCTTGTTCGGTCGTCCCTCCTCCGCCACTTAAGTTGTACTCGCACTCGCAATCTAGTCGCAGATCAGCCTTGGCTCCTCCTCCCCCTATCGCCTCCCCCCATCGTTGGTCCTTCGCTCCCAGAGTCGTACTCTCAAAGTTCGCAGATTCCTTTTTCTTCTTCTTTTTCCCCCTTCGCTGAATCCCTAACCTAATTTCTCTCATAGCAATTTCGTAATCCTTCTCATTCGGTCATCACTCCTCCGCTCCGACAATCACGCTCGTAAAGTTCGTGGGTTCCTTTTTCTTCTTCCTTTTCCCCTTTCGTTGAATCCCTAACCTAATTTCTCTTATCGTAATTTTGCAATCCTACTCGTTTGATCATCACTCCTCCTCCATACTCAGTCATACTTGCAGATTGGCTTTGGCTCTCTTCCTCCTATCATCAACATGTTGCTCCTCCGCTCCTACAGTTGCAAT